TACACACATACACACAAACACACACATACACACACACATACATACACACACACACAATGTTGTTTTATTTCTCCGCCCGTTTCTTTTTGGCCTTTCCAGAGACACAATCCAAAAGCATGTTTTTGTGTGTTTCTGAGTATCTTTGTGACTTTAGGAGAGTAAGCAAATTCTCCTTCATACTCTCATATCCTCTTTCTGACACTCTTCTTGACCAACTGGCTTTTAAGACGTTTCAGTAAGGGTCATGGGAATCCTAAAACAGATAATACAGTGTTCATGCTTCTAGAAGTTTATAATCTACTAAAGGAAGAAAGTCTAAACAATGTCTACAATATGTTTAAGGAAATAAGAATTTTTAAAAAAAGATAAAATATTTTATAACCTGGTCACACAGATCATTTCTACTAAGAAGTTGCCTTTGTTATAGGTTTGACAAACATGCCAGCAGGACTACTGATGTGTCATGAAATATTTTTCTGAAAGTCTGTTATTTCTGCACTTCCTAAAGACCACAGCTCACTTTTGAGGTGGGCATAGATATTCCTGCCCTTTCAACTTTGTTGGTTTTTCATGAGGATCCAGTGATAAAAATTTATAAAAGAATTTTGAGGATTTCTAACTATAAGATAATTTCATTATTAGATCTGAAGACTATGTTTCTATTTTACCATTTGTAGGAATCAACAGAGTCCCATGACAGAGACTCCTCCCACTTTTCCTTCAAAATCTTTCCTCATTTCTTCTCTTCATGTGGCTTCCCAGTAGTTAAAAGTGTGGCCATGTATTTAATAAGTTCTACTCCCAGGCCTAGGTCTCAATCTCATGGACAGGCTTTGTCCACAGTGTCTTCTCCTTAGTCTCACCTAGAATCCAATGAAGCCAGTTTTCCCCATGGAGATGATGACATTGCCCAAGGGGAAGATGGAATAATGTAATTGGAACAAATCTGGACTCCTGTTAAACTAACCTTGTGGAATACAGCTTCTCCCCATCTGAAATACTTAACTCAGGCTGTTATGTGGGAGATAAATAAATGTGAATTATTGAATTATGCTATATAGAAAGAATTCCACTACCTCAGTTTTAATTCCACATTTATCATTGCCTTACTGAATAATCTCAGACACTTACCATTTTCTAATTTCTAAAATGAGAGCACCTGGCTAGATCCCACGTTTATCATTGCCTTACTGAATAATCATTTTCTAATTTCTAAAATGAGAGCACCTGGCTAGATCTGTGTTTTAACAACGGTGCTCCACAGAACTCCAGTTCTCACATTTTTAAAATTATTTCAGAGGGCACTTTTGGTGGAAGAGGAAAGAATGGGGGCCAGGGGAGAACAAAGGCATAAAAGATGCTGGGCTCTTGGTTTACAGACCCCTCATTTACTCTCTCATCAGCCAGTGGAACTCTCTGTTTTATGTATTAGGCATCCAAGAAAACATTTGAACAAAGAATTCTTCCATTGAAAACATTTGTCAAAAACCACTAAGCTCACCTTAGCTGGTTTGGCTCAGTGGATAGAGTGTCGCCCTGTGTACTGAAGGGTCCAAGGTTTGATTCCAGTCAAGGGCACATGACTGGGTTGCGGGCTTGGTCCCCAGTCGGGGGTGTGCAGGAGACAGCTGGTCAATGATTCACTCTCATCATTGATGTTTCTATTTCTCTCTCCCTTCCTCTCTGAAATCAATAAAAATATATTTTTAAAAAATTAGTAAGCTCTAAAATGTCTAAGATATATTTACTTTCTGCAATTCTATATTTGAAGGAGTTAAAAGTTATTGCTCAGTAATGATAGATTTTTCTCTGAAACACCTGTGTACTTTTTCCCATTTGTCCTTTGTGATCAGTGACACATTTGATAAGTGATCTAAGTCATTCATATAATCCATGATTTTAAAATGTAATATTTTTGTTCAAATTAACCAGGGATCTAAGATAGTATCTTGATGTTATTAATATGGTACTTGAACCATCTTAGCTTTAAAAAGTAATAAATATTTTGATGTATGTAGTGAGTTCATCAATATCTGTTTGGTGGTTTTTGTTTGTTTATTTGTTGTGTGTGTGTGTGTGTGTGTGTGTGTGTGTGTGGTTTTTTATTACTCTTGTGAATGGTGTTGGACTTTATTGAGAAATGGTTGTCTCAATCAACTCACAAAACATATGTCTATTTGGTATTTTTAATGTTTGTTCTGGAAGCATTCTAAATGAGAAAAAAACTATTTTGTCTATAATGTTTTAATATATATTTGACTCAATACCCCAAACCATATTAATTGTAATGGTGTCCATTGCATGTCATTCTGCCATATTGGCAAAGCCTTTTCTTTGAGACATTGATAATCAGATTGATCAAAATCTGATCAATCTGGATACCCAAGAACACTTTCAAGAGATAACATTATTTGGTATGCAAATTTAATTCCTCTTCATTATACAATGTAATCTTTACTAACTTAGGTCTAAGACTCAGTCTTTACACTTATTTATTTATTTTTTGTAATCCTCACTTGAGGATTATTATCCTATTGATTTTTAGAGAAAGGAGGGGAAGGTATAAAAGACAGGGAGAGGGACAGACATTGATTGGTTGCCTCATGCACAAGCCCCAACCTGGCCCAGGTATCAAAAATACAGGTAAGTGCCCTTGACCTAGAATCAAACCCAAGACCCTTCATATACAAGGGCAGATGCACTAAACACTAAGCCACACTGGCCAGGGCTTTTTACACTTATTTAAACAAGTAGACAATCTCATTTTGAACAATATCTCAATACACACTCTAAATGGAGATCCATTACCCTTCAATATATTCATTTAAACAACACCTAAACTGTATTGACAATCAAAAATGGCAGCTCAAACTCCCAAAGCACTCCTAGCTTTTGCCATAGGATTTTATCCATAATAATGAACTATTCTGGATCAAACAATTATCATAAAAAGTCATAGTTAAAATCCATACAGGGTGGGCAAAAGTAGGTTTACCATTGTAAGTACAAGAAACAGAGTTTATTCTTGTGTTATTTAACAATTATTGTACTACTTTCCATATGAACTACTTTTGACTGAATTTGCACAAAGTGTAATAGAGTTAGTACACTCATTTCATAATTGTATTTCAACTAATTTCGTATTCTTTAGGACATAGGAAACAAATTCCATCAGTTGTTATAAATTTCAGACACAGATATCAGAGAGTCTATTACAACAGGTTAATATAGACTCGAGTCTTATTTTTCTCAGAACGCAGTAAGCCCGGAGAGGCAGCTTTCCATAGGTTCAATATCTCAGGAAGTTCAAGGTTGCCTTCTCCTGAATCAAAGGCTCTCCCTCCTGGGAAAAAAAAAAGATAAATCCCTCCAGGTCCCATATCCACGATGCAGATGAAAAGCAGGTACAAGGGTCAGTGACGGTGGCATAAGTTTCAGTCATTAGAAAACATAAACTCTCCGGGTAGACTTGCCAAAGAATTCCACGTTTCCTCTTCAGGAGACCTCCTCCTATGTCCACTGTCTCAACATGATGCAAAGGTGCCGATGAAAGACACAAATTTAGGTTTTCTGAATTAGCCTCCCTGCCCAGCCCGTTCTCCTAGAAGCCCATGAAGAAATTGCTGTGACCCAAAGGTATGGTGTAGGTTTATTTTGCTTTGTTTTTCGCATTCATTTAGGTTTCTGTAAATATAGTTTTGGAGATAGGTCTTATTTATACTGCCTATGTTTCCCGCGGTTATTATCAAGAAATGGAAACTTGAAGACACTGGGTAGCACAGGCTCTGGGAGAAAGAAGACCTTCCGCCCACCCCTCAACTACTGTTCCTATGGCCCCTCTTCCACCTGGGCATAGCAGATCCTGCATTCAGCCCCCAACAGTTCAAACCCAACTCCTACCCTCTGAGAGTGACTGGGGACACACCCTGGGAATGTCCAAGTGGGCGTGTTTCCACCATATATAAGGGCAGCTGGCCTCCCCCAAGTCCACAGATCCCAGATAGCAGAGGAGCACTCTAGACTGAGGCTGGTTCTCCTCTTAGCCTTTGAAGAAGGAAGGACCGGAGGAAGATTTCTGACCTGTTCAAGGTCATCAATGAGTCCAGGGATTGGGCCAGAGAGCGAGGCGGGAGAGGTGGGATTAGGGTGCAAAAGAGAAAGAAAACCAGCCACCAGCCTGACCCTGACTTTTCTCATCTCGGCATTTCCTTCGCAGGTACCTGACCAGACATCCCACCAAAAGGCTCCGAGACTTCCCGCGCCAGCATGGAAAAAGCCAGAAAGCATCCCCGGGATCAAGCTGGCAACTCCCCACGTGTGCACCAACCTCAGCCTACCATGGCCCCTGTGGGCTCCGTGGACAGCGACACGCACCGCATCCCGGGGCACAGACCTGAGGAACTGGAGGAAGGATCTGTACCCCAAGACCAAGGCCAAGTCCCCATCGGTTGTCCAGAGGGCTCCCACCTCCAGGCAGGTGCAACCACAGAGTCCCGGTCCTCGCTTTCTGCAGACCAAGGGCAGAGGCAGAAGACACACGCCCAGGAGGAAGAGGAGTGGGTGCTCAAAGGGGACCCCGACGAGGCTCAGAAGATGCTAGAGCTACTGGATTCTTTTTCCCAGGGACAGCTGACCCGCGAGGAGGCACATCGCCAGTCCGCCTTCCCCAGAGCAGCCATCGGACACCTAGTCCAGAGCGCGGCGGGCGGCGCCACCTTGGAGCAGAATGCGCTCATCGCCATGGCCGGGCTGGCCAAGGTCTTCGTCGGGGAGGTGGTGGAAGAGGCCCTGGACGTGTGCGAGCGCTGGGGGGAAAGAGCGCGGCCGGCGCCACCTTGGAGCAGAATGCGCTCATCGCCATGGCCGGGCTGGCCAAGGTCTTCGTCGGGGAGGTGGTGGAAGAGGAGGCGGACGTGTGCGAGCGCTGGGGGGA